TGAGCGTGGGCAAGGCCAGGGCGCTGAACGGGGCTCAGGAAGGCTTGGGGACGTGGACACGGCGACCATCGGATGGGATGGGAGCCCCCTACCCTGCAGGGTGCTGCTCCCACCTTTGGGTGCTGAGCGTGGGGGTTTGCACACACGTGTGTGTGTTTGTGCCGCCATGGTTGCCTGTGGGGACAATGGGGACATTTCCATGCTTGGGGACAGGGAAGTGAAGGGCAGGTGCTGCACGATGCCACGGGGCAGAGGTGGCACCGCAGGGACTGAGCTGCAGGCGTAGCAGGAGGCAACACGGGGACAGGGACAAACAGACACCTGTGCCAGCCGTGCCCTCGTGCCCCCCTTCCCCTTATTTTAGGCCCCTTGGGGACGCGCCAGCCCTCCCAGCTCAGCCCCACTGCATGCCCCCCCCTTTCCTCCCCCCCCGACCGCCGCAGTGGTTGTGATAAAACCAAACCCTGAGCGCAGGGCACGGAAAGGGCGCCAGCTTCAGCTTCAGCACCGCGAGGTGACACGGAGGTGACACGGAGGTGACACGGCCACGGCACCCAGCCCTGCTGCTTTGGGGCCATTCGGTGCTTTTCCACCCCATTTCCCGTTCGAATGAAGCCCCCCTTCGCCTCGCAGCGGCGGCTCCAGCCGTGCCCGCAGAGCTGCGAGCTTCGGGGCAGGGAAAATCCTTTCCGTCAGCTCCGCTTCGTAGCCCCGTTTCCCCCCCCCCCCCCCCCCAACGTGAGGCTGTGAGCGCAGCACGGCGCGCCCTGCAGGAGGAAGGAAGCTGCTCCTCGCTCTGCTGCAGCGCTCAGCCCCGATTTTGGCAGCAGGACGAGGGGGGCAGGTAGAGCTGCCGAGCCGCCCGGTGCCGGCATCCCTTCCCAGCCCGTCTGAACCGAAAGTGCCAAAACTCCCCCAAGGAGGCGCAGAAGGAGCGAATCCTTCGGGGAATCCCTCGGGGCTGAGGCTTCACGCCTCCCCCGGGTGCCGAGCGGACGCTGTGCAGACGCGGAACCTGCGGAGATGCATCTCACACCCAGCCGACTTCAAAGCGCTGCCAGCCTTTCAGCGAGGGCAGCCGGAGCCGCTTTATGGCCTGGGGCCTCTTTGCTGCCATTTGCCTACAAGTGCCAGACGCTGCCTTCCTCCTCTTCCTGCCTCTTTCAGAAGCAGTTTTGGATGGGGATTTTGTTGGTTGATTTTTCTCTCGTCCCCAACCCCCCCCCCCTCCATCCGCCTTCACCGGGCCGCACAGCGGTGAATCACAGCAGGGAGCTGATGTGACTTAATGGGAGTTTTTAATGGGTGTCGTGCAGAGGAGCTCCAACTGCACTGCCAGCGTGGCCAGGTACTCACTGCTCACATCTGCAGGGGGGTCGCTGGCACCTTTTGGGTGGGGGGGCTCAGCTGACGTCCCCTCGGTGCAGGTCGGGTGCCTCTGCTTGTGGCACACGTGGCGTTTCAGCAGCCCATGGAAGAGAACGGGGAGGAATGGTTGAAGTGCTTGGGGTCGGGGTTAGAGTTATGGGGGTTGGGGAACAGCAAGGCGACACCAAACAGGCAGGAAATCACCCCGAAACAGAGCACAGATGAGGCTGCTTGCAGTGCCACGATTCCTCCAAGGCACAGCAGGCTCCATCTGCTCCCCACAGGTGCTCACAAAGCACAGAGGATGATGAAGGTGGCAGAGATCTGCGTTTCTGAGCCCGGTGTGGCAGCCCAGCCCCTCATTTCCTCCATGCATTGGGAAAAACATCCGGCCTGAATGCAGGAAAACCCCCCTCCTCGCATGCAGGCAGCCAGCAGCAGCTCCCAGCCCACAGCAAACGGCTTCTCCCAGCCTGAGGGACCCAGATGGGAGCTGCAGAGCCTCTGCCTGCGTGCTGGGAGCAGGCAGTGATGCTCGCTATCCAAAACCCAGCCCGTTTTCTTCCCTACCTCCTCATGCCCTCCTTGGCTTCGGCCCAGGCAAAAAGGAAAATCCGACTCTCCGACGGCTTTGCCAGAAGCAGCACAAAGTGGCGGCCGAGGAGCAGAGGCTTTGCTGAGAGGAGCAGAGGGAACCTTCAATTTTCCCTGCACGTGAGGGAGGAAACCGGCAACCGGCTGCTGCTCTGCTGCAGGGTGTCAAAGCAGAAAGCAAAGTCGCCGCGTGCTGCTGCCCCACAGCTTCACCAAGGCCGTGTGGGGAGCAGCCCTGGGGTTTGCTGAGGGGTGGCAGACAAGCAAGCACCCCACACACGGGGGATTCAAAGCACCCCAGGGCGCCCCGTGGGGGTTTTTGGGTGCCACGCTGCTCGCCGAGGGCCGCAGCTCCCCCCCCAGCATCGCTGCTGTGAGGTGAGGATCCACAATTGCTTTCAACGGGGCGAAATAGGTGGAAAAAGGAGGGTGAGGAGAAGGGGGGGGGGAAAGGGGAACGCCTGTCTTTTACCATTCATTTCCCTGACAAAAATAAACCCATTCCTCCAACCTTACCCGGCTGGGATCCACCCTGCGAGCAAAACTCCTCGGCAAGTGTTGCAACGGCGTTGTTGGCACGGTTCAAAGCACACATGAAACTGCTCTGCAAAAAAAAACTACAAACCCACAGGGGAGAGATGTCAAATCCGAAGCAGTCAGATGCTTTTTAAACAAGCGAGGCACAAAGCCGGAGAAATTCCTCTTTAACCCTTGAGGAGCAGGGAGGGATTGGGTCGGATTTCCACCTGTGGGGCTGCAGGGAGAGGTGGGAGAAAGGGGGGGAGAGGTTCTGCTGTGCAGCACAGGATGCGAACTGGGGGATGCTGAGGAGAGGAAAAGAGGGGATGAAGTCAGCAGTGAGGGCTGATTCTCCCTGGGAGGCGTTGATCAGAGCGAAACCCCCTCCAAAAATTGGGGAAAAAAGGGTTTTAATGAGGTTCTGTGGGAAAAAGGAGCCCAGGCGAAGGGAGGTTAAATGCTAGCGAGGAGACGGGAGGAAGGAGCTCCTCCTGCTCAGCGCTGAGGATTCAGGCTCTGGATAGGAGATCGAGAGAGGAAAAGAGTCTCCCAGATGGGCCGAGCCCAGGATGTGAGGATTCTGCCAGATGTACATTAAAAGGAGTTATGAGCTGCATAAAAACCGCTCCGCAGCTGCAATTCTGGCACCGGCGAGGGAGGAATTAATTGCAACACCAGATCGCTCCTCCTCTGCCCGGCCAGGAGGGACGGACGCGACCCCGCCTGCGTGCTGCTTCTCACCTCCCCCCCCCCTTTCCAGCCAAAACGGGGAAGGATAAATTCCGGACCCTCGGGGAGACCGCTGCACAAAAAAAAAAGCAGGATTTCTCCCCAAACTGAGCCCCGCGGGGTCCCCGCCGTTGCCTTCGCTGCGATCGTCCCGGCTGGCGCGGGTTAAAGCGCGTTGGGGGCGGCTGGGAGCCCGGCCAGAGGAGGCAGCGTGACACACACGTTCCCATTTCCATCCGTCCCGCCCCAAATCCGGCGCCTCCTCCGAGTTTTTCCTCACCTTCTTGGCAGGGTCGGGGATCTGTGGGTTCCCCCCCCCCCGGCCTGTGTGAAAAAAAAAGAAAAGGGGGGGGGGAGAAAGGATTGGGGGGCACCCAGACTGGCTGGTGTCACAGGGGACGCGGTGACATCTTTTGGAGGATCGCGCAGGGTGGGGGCTAAAGAGGCTTCCTTCATTCCCCCCCCCAACTCCAGGGTGGGGAAACCCATGGCCTGAGTGCCCTGGTGATGCAGGCTGAGCACGCGGTGTCCAAATTGTGTAAGAAGCACTAAAATAGAAGCCTGAGCCCAAAATCTGGGCGGCACCCATTGGGACCAGGCTGCAAATGTTTCGTTTGGTCCAGGAGGGGGGGGTGATCTGGTGAATGAAGGGGGGGTGGGCAGCAGACCTTATATGTCAGGGGAAGGGGTGGGGGTGGGAGCTGGGGGGGGGGGGTTGGGGGTTACCTGGAGCCATTTTGGCCACGCTGGGTGGTTCTGGACGTCCTCTTCGGTGCTGTCCCCATCTCAGATAAAGGGACAGGCTGAGGGGGGTAGCGGGGCACCAGTGACCTGGGGACACACTGCTGAGGGACTGGGTACAGGCAGAGCAGGGGTGTCGTGGAGGCACCTGGGGACACAGGGATGCTATGGGGGGCAGTGCTGGAAGGCAGGCTGGCCACGGGGGTGAACTGTGGGGGGTACGGAGACAAGGACAGACCCCAAAATGCTGCTCCCCCTCCCCTACTGACTGTGCCACAAGCAGGAGGCCGCACGGAACGCGCTGAGAGCACAGCCAAGCAGTGCAGGGGACAAACAACATGGCAGACCCACGACATGCTCACACCAGGGGAGCCTCTTGGTCCCCACCTTTCAACTCTCATCCTACTGGAAACCCCCTTCCCCATCCCACTACGGCCCCCATTTTGCTGCTGTCCCCTATCAGCAATGCCAAGCAGTTCCCCTTCCCAAAAGCGACAGGACACCACGCACACTCACAAGCCACATTATTTCCAAAACGTTTTTAAAAACCTATTGCTACAATCATTCCCTGCAGCAGATACCAAGCAGGCGCTGCCCTTGCTTGCACCGTGGTTCCCCTGGTCCTAGCGGGGAGGTGGGCACCACCTCAGCTGTGCCACCACCCTCCTTGGTCTGTGCAGCTCCCGCTGGCCCGGCCCCTTCACGAGGTGTCCTGTTGTCACCGTCGCTGCAGCAGGACCCACACCTTCGCTCCAGTTTGGGGTTGCAGTCAGAGCAGCGCTGGGGGGGGGGGGGGAAAGAGAGCAAGACAAAGGAGTCAGGGTGGGCAGCACCTTGTGGAGGGCACTCTCTGCCCCGCACACTCCTACCTGTCTTCTTGGAGGGGCAGCTCGCTCACAGTGGCGTTGAGGATAAACGGTGCAGCTTCCTCCAGCTCGCTGACCTCTGCAAAGGGTAACGAGAAAGTGCTGTGCCAGCCTTGGGGGGGCAAGAGGGGAGGCATCATTTGGCACCCTAAGGACACTCACCTGCCTCCCAGTCCTCTTGGCACGGTGGGGCCTGCCAGGCCACGGGGACCTTGGGTTGCTTTGCCTGGTCACCGACGCACACAGACGACCCTTTGGGCACAGAGAGCACAGTAGGGGTGTGTGTCTGAGTGAGGGGGGTCCGAGCTGCAGCTGGGGAGCGGCTGGCCGTGTACCCTGAGAGTCGAAGAGCAGGCGCTGGTCGGGGCAGCAGGCAATGTGTCTCTGCAGCTCGGCTCGCGGGATCCTGTGCCTGGCGTTGAAAGGGCAGATCTCCATCGAGCGAGCCACCTGCGGGTTGTTCTGGGGGAAGCGAAGGAGGAGAAGGCGCTGAGCGCGTGAAGGGAGGCCGGGCCTGCATCGCGCATCTCGGCCCCGCGGCGCCCCGCTCACCCGCTGGCACTTGACGAGATGGTAAGGCAGCCGGGACACCCGGATCTGGTGCGCCTTGTCGTAGGGACACTGGACGAGCGCCTCGGGGTCCATCTTAGGCTCCGCGTCAGCCTCCAGCGGCCTCCTACCGGCCACCAAGCCCCGCGCTCCCACCCCCAAACGGCCCCGCTCATCGTCATGGCAACGCGGCCTAACTTCCGCCGCAGCCTGCGCCGCTCCCACTTCCGCCGCCGACGTCGCCATGGCAACGCGGCCTAACTTCCGCC